TTTTCAAATGGGCGAGTGCTAATCGATGATTCACGAAGACTAGAATCAAGTCTTTCCCTGTGGCAGGATATTTGGGCCATTTGTCTGCCCCTTCATCTGACACCCATCAAAGTAACCTGGTAAGTGCGCATCGAAGTTGCTGAGAATTTTGAAGCTTTCACACACTAGATCCTTCATTCCAGTGTGGTTCCATTCAGTCATTTTTCGCCGCATGAGGTATGCACTCTCGATGTCTTACTCTGGCATGCTCAGGCGGTTGATCATCCTTCCCTGCCTTCAGATTCATGGTAGATTGCTGCCTGCCGTCATCTACCTGCCTACCTTCATCATCACCGTCTTGTATCTGCGCCATCGCCTGCTTCAACATAATCAAGCCGACCCACTACGCATTGATGCATTGCAAGCACTGGTCTACATCTTTCAAGGCCAGCATCGAGTCTAGCAAGGTTTGCGGACATCTTGAGGAGGAGAGCTGTCCTGTACCATTACTCGGACATCTTATAGTGCTTGTAACTACATCTGAGATTCACCAGTAGTGCTACTGCTATATGATCCGCTGGTTGCCATGGCCAATGATTCGCAGCGCAAGCAGTGGTCGGTGAGCTGGGTGGTCGAGGATCATAGAAGCGAACGAGTCACATGAGAATCTGTGTGAAATGAGATGGGAAATGAATATTGCGACTGGCAAATGCAATCGTCTTGATATCGCAGGCGGCAACGGACCCTGACAAAAATCACACAGATCTGGAGGTTTTTGCCACATCCATCGTCGACATAATCTTGCCATTTTCTGCAGCGCATGCTTAGTTGGGACCATCAGAACGTCGAATGATGACCAAAAGGGTGAATGAATATGAGACTCTGATGCTTAGGGGGTTGGGAGGTAGTTTGGATATGACGAACTAGTTTGTTTGGCTTGGTGCCGTGAGGGGAAAGATATGACGAACGAGTTGTTTGGCTTGGTGCCATGGTGGGGAAGATATGACGAGCAAGTTTGTTGGGCTCAATGAGGCGGGCGGGGGGAAGACATGACCAAATGAGTTTGTGGGGTCAAGTGAGGCAGGGGGGAAGATATAACGAAGGAGTTCGTGGGCTCAATGAGGCGGGGGGGGAAGATATCACAAGGAGTTCCGTGGGTTCAACGAGGCGGGGGGGAAGATATCACGAAGGAGTTCGGGGGCTCAACGAGGCGGGGGGGAAGATATCACGAAGGAGTTCGGGGGTTCAATGAGGCGGGGGGGGGGGGAAGATATCACGAAGGAGTTCGTGGGCTCAACGAGGTGGAAGGGGAAGATATGAAGAACAAGTTTTGTTTTGCTTGGTGCTGTGGTATGGTAAGGGTAGGGAAGATATTGACCGACAAGTTTGTGGGCTCGATGAGGGAGGGGGGGGGGGGGAAGATATGATGAACGAGTTGTGGGGCTTCCCCGCCTGAGTACGGAGAAGCAGGGACGCTTTCCTCATATGGGACGGAGGAGTCCCCTGCCTGAGAACGGAGAAGCAGGGACGCTTTCTGATATGGGACGGAGGAGTCCCTGCGTGAGAACAGGGACGGAGGGACGCTTTCCTGATATGGGACGGAGGAGTCCCTGCCTGGAACGGAGAAGCAGGGACGCCTTCCTGATATGGTACGGAGGAGTCCCTGCCTGAGAACGGAGAAGCAGGGACGCTTCCTGATATGGGGGCGTGGGAACAGGGACGGCAACAGGCTTGGCAGGGCAGCAGGGACGGGGACGGAGGCGACTGCAGGGGTGCGGTCTCGGGAAACATATAGATAGGGTCTCGTTTTGTCTTAGGGTTCATTTTGCTTCATTTTTGCTTTTTTCTTGCATTTGTGTTGCTTTATTCTGGCTGTGTTGTCCTGTAGCGATCTTGCTTATCATACACGTATCTTAGCGCTTGTCTGCGGTGATACGTCGGGCGAGGACAGGACCTCGTTTCGACTTGACTGCATTTTGCTTGATTTTTGTGATTTTTGTGTGATTTTATTGCTGCAGTGGTCTTGTGTATGGTATGGGATGGTCTTGGTATTGTGGTCTTGCCTTGACTTTGCTTGATTTCGCCTTGTCTTGCGTATCGTATCGTAGTCTTGCCTTGACTTTGCTTCATTTTGCGTATTGTATTGTAGTCTTGTGTATGGTATGGCATGGTCTTGGTATCGTGGTCTTGCGTGTGGTGCGAGATCGTTTTGCTATTGTAGTCTTGCCTTGACTGCTTGATTTTCTCTTGTCTTGCGTGTTGTATTGTATTGCTTGTCTTGTAGTGGCTCTAACCGAGACACCGAGAGAATACATTTTTGGACGAGACAACGAGAATGCTAACACACCGAGCTGTCCCAGCTTCACCACCCCCCGACAGGTCACGTGATACATCATGTGACCTTGGGAACTTATGTATGAACTTTGTGAGATGCCTACCACAAACTTAAAAGTGCAAGAATCTACTATATGGACCAAGACTCGTCATCTGACCAATGGATATGCTCGCCATCAAAATGCAAGAGAGTGCTACCTACTGATGACCCAAAGAAGACTTGTCAAACGTGTCAGGATGCAGACAGACTTCGCAGTGCTGCTCAAAGGTACAGGAAGCAAGAACACGAACAAGATGCTCCCTGTGCTGCTCCATCTCCTACTGCCCACAATATAGACGGAGACACAACTCAAGCAGCAGACCCAGAGTCTTATGATGAATCTACCCTAGTCAGTATTCAGGACAGATTCAAGGGAAAGGGCACTTACATGCTATCACAGTACGAGAATGCCCAGTGTCTATTTGCAGCCTTAAGGACCTTGTTTAAAGGCTCGAATGATGTCCAATTTCATGAAAACTATGTCATACCTGAGGATCCAGTAACAAGTGAAAAGGAGAGGGTCCAAATGGCCGCACTAGAGGTCTGGAGGACAACTGGATATCATTTCAGGTAAGTCAAATAAGGTGCATGGTTCAACACTTACCATGACATTTACAGGGTACAGCACAACTACCCTCTCAAGACAGGACACAAGACAATTCTATGGTGTTGTCAAGATGAGGACAAGAAACAGAAATCCTGGCCAAGTCAGAAGGAAGGTGTCAAACACCGTGACACAATTGGAATGAAGTGCTTCCCTTGTCGGAGTGCTCTTACCATATCTTGCTGCCAGAAAATGGGTAATCAGATTAATGAGCGCACATTATCCATTAGGATGAAGCATCATGATGCACACATGCCTTACTATGACGTGGCTATGCCATTGGATGTGACCCAGATTATCTGCGACCAGCTCGAGTGGAGTAGCCCAAGCTCATTAGCCCCAAAGATCCAGGCACTTTATCCACATATCACAGCATCACAGGTACATTTCGCATGGACAAGGATGAGTGAAATATTCTGGAAAAAAGATTCAGATCAACTTACCTCAGCAAAGATGTTGTTGGATGAATTTGGTTGAGATATTGATGTCTTTGATGTAGAATTGGCAGACGGCATGGAGCAGCTATGAGATAGCCCGGTGGCTGGAAGGGAAGGTGGTTGAGATTGGCCTTGATGTGACATGTGAGTAATGGTGTTTTGGTTAGCTGTATCGACTGACTCACATGACTCATCAGACAACACAAATGCTAAACACCTAAAACTATATAGCGTGCTGGGTGAATTTGATAATGCTGGCTTTCCATTATTACACTGCTTGCTTTTGACTGCAACTGCAATCGAAATCGGGAAATGGACAACAGCACTGCAACGATGGACAACTTGCCTTCGAGACAAGTATGGCATCATTGCACAATTTGTTCATGTCAATAAAGACATGGCTGAAACCAGCATGTCCAAATCTGTCTGGCCGACGGCAAAGATCCAGCTTTGCTGGTGGCACCTGCGAAAAGCCATTCAAGAACAGTTAGCAAAATCAAAACTATCGGCGACTCCATACAAGCCTGCTTGTGCGAACCACGAGTTTCCCTTCATTGACATCTTATTTGCACCCGCAGGTACCTCAGACGCTGGAGAATTTGAGGGTGGTGTCCTTCTCAAACCTGATGAAATCCACCCTGAGGACATGACCATGCCATCACTGTCAATTCACATTCCACACCCATCTCAGTTCTGTTCCAGCAGAGATTTGGAGCCTAATGATGTTGATTCAGTGGATGACAGAATTAGTACCAATAGAAATGTGCTAATGATCAAAATCAAGATACCAAAGAAAGGTCTTGAAGAACAATCAGTGGATATTCATTCCAGAGTATTTTGTCCCGCTCACCTTCGCAAACCAGTAATTGTGCTGATCGAGCACCATTTTTATGCCCATCCACTAATACCAGGCTACTCACATCCAAGCACTGTCGGCATCCATCAATGGGCAGTCAAACAGATGTATACGTTTTGCAAAGAAAACGATCTTTGTGAGGTTTGGGCTTACCTGTGGGAAAATTGGTATTGATGCGGCCGGTGGGAGCTTTGGGCACAAGCAGTTGCACCAATGGAGGTGCTGAGAATAAAGACAACTATGGTAATGGAAAGCCAGTGAGTCAATCATTAAATAAGTACACAACATGCACCCACGTTCAAATTGTAGCTGGTGTCGAATCAAGGTTGACTATTTGTATCATTCTTCAAAGCCTCGTATCGATCTTCTGGCATGGATTTTAGTCACCAAGCTTGCACCGTCATACTCCAAAAAATTAGATCACTCACTCCATGACACTGGCCATTTTCAGAAATTGTCATCATGGCGCAAATCATTCAAAAGTGAATGGCAACGAGCGCGTGAAACACCAATAACAATGCCAATGAATGCAAAATACCGCCCTGATGTTGGAAAGTGGGTGTGCACCTGCCTGCACTTTGTCAAGAGCTGGTTCCTTGTCTGCAAACATCTAGTGCAAGATGTGCATGCAGTTAGCCCAGTTTTTTTCTTGGAAGTTCAACGGAACCGAACACTACCTTTCTGGTCACACCCATCACTTGTTTCATTGCATGACAGCCTTCCTCCTAATTCCACTGTACTGGAGCAGATGTTGCAATACTCAATGAGAGCAGAGGAGGACACCCATGAGAACACAACTGGGGTAGAGGGAAATATATTTGATAGGGAAGACGAAGAAGCGGAAGATGAGTTTGTGGATACAGCGGCCGGATGGATGGATACACGCACCTTTCAAGAACGCTTCGAGGCACACATCAAAAACCTCCGTGATTTTTGCGACGGCCTCCAGCATCAAATCCAGTTCAACAATCACAGGATGCTCCATGTCATCGAGCGTGAGGGTGCATCATTCATCCGCCTAATGGAGAATTGCCTTGGTCGAGAGAGACGGGAGAATTCGTCACGGCAGAGGAGTCTGACAACATGGGAAAAGGAAATATCGAATGCGATGTTTTACCGCACCTGTCTGCGATCAACTGCTAGTGATGAAAGTACATAATCATGATTGTATTACTACATAGAACATCAAGAGAACATATGATTATTCATGTTATTTCTTCTATAATTATATACTATCAAAAAGATAAGCGTCAATGTCGAAAAGATAAGCGGGAGTGTTTGTTACACGCACGTCGTTCATAAGTCACGTGAGGTCATGTGACCTGTCGGGGGGCGGTTGACCTAGGTAACTTATTTCCTGCTTTATAGTCCATTAAGACCTCACAGGTACTGCATTTTTCATGACCTCCAGCACACATCTTACTCTCAAGTGTTAGTTAGAGTCCAATATATCAAGCTTCGCTCTGGTCATTTCGGTGAATACTCTCCACCTTTGAGAGAGGAGCCGAGCCACCCAGAATGCTCCCAGGACCCAGGACAGACAAACCTCGTGATTAGTGAAATGCTACAAGTCACTGTCAATAGTATGTCTGTGGGCATCTGTACAGGGATTGACAGAAAGGTCTGCTACTGTAGTGAGCTAGGTAGTAGGGACCAAGCTATACGGCTGGGATGCTGTACAGCTCTGTACAGAACATTATAGTTTACTGATGTGGGTTCGCCATGCTAGTTAACATTCACATCCTACTGAGCTGGAGGCCTGTGCAACTTCCATGCAACTTCTGGACGCTTACATGTCCACGACAGCTTCAGTATTGTCTCGTCGCAATATTATGAAAGACTTCCAAAGAACGCTTGCCATAGATGCTGCATCGTGTGCTCTTCGTAAGTGGTGACGTTTGTCGCGCAGTTGAGAATGACTCTTATCAACACGCGCACGTACTTATTTGAGCTATGATTCATTGATTCCTGACTCATTAACTTCAAGTGCTGCTCAATTTAATTTTCCGGTGCGCTGAGCCTATAAATTACGCCACTACCTATGACATATGTTTACATAAATTAGTCCAAGTAATTAGGACCATTAATTGAACCTTCCGTCCTACATGAGTCTCTCACTCGGGCTCATTCCAGACACCGGTGCAACACTATAGCCTCATCCATGGGCAATTGCGTCTCCGCACGGCACCATGAAAGAGAAGGAAAGGTTCGGTCTGATGCTATCGACCGTCAGATAGAAGAGGACTCTACAAAGTTTAGGAAGGAGTGTAAGATACTTCTTCTCGGTGCGTATCTTCATTTACACCTCACGCTATGTCTATTTCATTTTCATTTTATGATTGAGACAAATATTTCTGGGATTGCGGTCTATTTCCTTCAACTGCCCTTGCCTTCTCTTTCTTCTTACTGCTCATATTCAACCTCAGGGTCTGGCGGATCTGGAAAGTCGACAATAGTCAAGCAGATGAAAATAATTCATCAGAATGGCTTCACTAATAACGAACTCATGACGTTCCGTTCGACAATATATCGGAATACTCTCGACTCCGTGCAAGCCATTGTCTTACAGATGCGTAACATGAATGTGGTGTGTGTAACGCCTGCGAATCAGGTACGTTCTCTCTCGCTTTTTCTCCTACCTCAATTTATCACTTTCCATAGACATTTGCCGAACGCATCATTGAATACAGGGTTGAGAGTACTCCCAATTTTGTTTTCTCCACAGATATTGCACAAGCCATTCATAGCTTATGGCAAGATCCTATCATTCCCAAGGTGATGGACGGTTCGAGCCAGTTCTATCTAATGGACTCAGCTACATAGTGAGTAATTATATTCACTCGGATTCCAAATACTCACGGTGTTCATTCGCAGCTATTTTACGGAAGTGCTCCGTATAGGTACTCCCGACTATACCCCAACAGAAAATGATGTACTGCGAGCTCGAGCAAAGACAATCGGCATCACTGAAACGCGGTTTAACATGGGACAGCTCTCGTGAGTACACCACCATGTCAAAGTTATGTTTTTGATCATGGCCTGGTAGCATCCATATGTTCGACGTTGGCGGCCACCGCTCAGAACGGAAAAAGTGGATACATTGTTTCGAATCTGTAACAAGCATCATTTTCTGCACGGCATTATCGGAATACAACCAAGTACTGTTGGAAGAGAAGAACCAGGTAGGTCCTGTGCATACGCGATTATTGGCTGTCATTAATTTTGTCAATAGAATCGCATGCAAGATTCGCTTAACCTATTTGAGTCGATAATCAACTCCCGTTGGTTCCTGAGAACTTCTGTCATATTATTATTGAACAAGATTGATGTTTTCAAGAACAAGGTACCAAAGGTGTGTATCCATTGTTGCAAACGCGTGGAGATCCATTGACGCTTTGCAGGTTCCAGTCCAAAACTATTTCTCGGATTATGCAGGCGGCCCAGACATCAACAAAGCGGCGAAATATATTCTATGGAAGTTCATGCAGGCCAACCGGGCGCACCTGAGAGTCTATCCCTAGTAAGTGTGATTTATTACGCCTCGCTTACCACTCACTGTGTCTTAGCTTGACACAAGCTACTGATACGACGAACATCAGATTCGTCTTCGCTGCAGTCAAGGAGACGATCCTACATAATGCTCTCAAAGACTCAGGTATTCTGTGACGTCTTCCTTTCCTGATTTCTTGATATCTATGTGTATTTGTTTCAGGGTGCGGTTTGCACATGTATCTAGAACGCCTGGTTATTATCATCTAGCATATTATCATATCTAGCATACTATTAATTATTCATTGCCACCCTGGCTGTCCCTGAGATTAATTTGCACATGAGCATGTGCCTCTGTTTCGTCCCGCTCAGCATTTGCTTGATATGGTCGGATTTTGGCTGACTATAGTGGTTGCACATAGTGATGCATTGGGCCGAGCCCTCGTAGGCCAGATGCTTTGATGAATTCGCGATCGAGGATGAAAGTCAATTCAAAAACCAACCATGATGTATCCCAACCTCCAAAGCAAATAGTGGTTTGAGGTCTCATGGATCAGGCGTTCTGGCAAAACAAAGGTTGAGGCGGTAACTCACAAGCTACAGGAAATATGATCAGTGACAGGGAACATCAGTCAGAACGAACATACCCTATCATTAGGTTAGGTGCGCGGAAGTGACTTCCGCATGAAGGTCTGATTTATAGTGAAAAGCGGGCAAACTCTTTGGTGAGGTTACCCTGAGATAGTATTAGACCGATCGGGAGAGGTGAACGCAATCTCCAAAACCCATGCATCGTGTGTTGATTGCGCCAAGTTGCATATACTGTTGATTTGCTATTAGTATCGATACAGTTTTCAGTGGTTTAACTAAATGGCGGGTTGATAAGAGGGGATGTACGTTGGTTGTATGTACGGCCATGAAATCATTACTTAAATAAATGAGACTACAGCGCCCTTCAATTCAAAAGTCCTTTCATTCTGCCACGCACTGTCAGCCCGTCAAGTTCGAGTGAGCCAATACCTGATCTCTTCCAAAAACGCCATGCCTCCACAAGAGCCTTCGCTTCAAAAGGGGGTACCTGTGGATCGCTTGTTCCAACCGTTACGTGCAAAGAATTTCGGACTTCCGACAGTTTCGACCCAAACTCACTCCCTTCCTGACCTCAGGCTGCAGAAGAGAGATTGTCTGGTGAACCGTCAAGGTTAAAGTCGTCCACGGTGATTGTCATAACTCGTTTATTCTAGACCAAATGACCGAGAGTGAAGGTGAACGAGGGAGGAAGTGCCATTCTATGAAGCTGTGAGCATCGCTCCCAAAGTTCAATGACATTGGGGAGGGATTTGCTGTGCACCACAGTGGTATGGGGGCGCAAGGTAACACGACGTTCAGCAACGAGAGCAATCCAGCACGCTTTTCCATTTTTTTCAATGAGATTGACTATGGGGAGGAGTCCGAAGTAGCGCGGCACGGGTTGCTCATCTTTCTTTTTCTTCTCTTCTTGAGGCTTTTTTATCTGACCTTTGCGGAATTCTTCACGACCCTTCGGCTGTTTAACCCGCTTGGCGATGAAGACTTCGAATTTGAGGGCGATGAGCAGTCTGACTCAGGCGACGAAAGTCCGTCGAAGCCAGCTGAGCCACTCATCATACCAAAGGGACTTCGCATCGGAGATCCCACGAACAGATGGGCCAGGGATTCACTATTTGATTCCACACGTGGAGAGATTGGTTTAGCAAGGAGTATTTTCAAGATACGAGGTTCACCAAATGAGACCAGTTGGCCAGTGAGTGTCGTTGGGCTTCTTACTGGGATCTTTTCTGACTCCAACAAGTCCTTCTGGAGTTTACCGGACGCAAACAAGTTGTCCTTTATAAATGTGGAGCCTGTTGACCTTCCCTCTGTCCTACCCAATTTTCCTTCATCCGCGCCGCGGCATGAGGTCGACACTAAGACACACATGCCCCTAGGGACAATGTCACCAACTCCTGTTGATCTTATCCACCGATTCCTTGAATACGAACCATCCCAGCGTCTCCGCCCTTCCATGGCATTGACTCACCCCTGGTTCACCTCCGAACCACCGTTACCTCTGCTAGATGACTTCCCTGCTCCAAGCATTCATGGTGAGGCTTCAATAAGCTTTAGCTGGGGCACAAATTCTCTGGGAGAATGACTTTCAGATATTCATCTCAGTGCAATTTGAAGAGAGAAGTAAAACGAGTGATACGACGACATCATGTGTTACACAATGCATATAATTTACAAAGCGTGGTAGAAAGCAAGAACCCGACCATTACAGAATGCACATGCATGTATCTCAGGCTGCTGCTGTCGGCACAGCCTTGATGGTTTGACCAGCGAGAGCATGGTTATCGATGGACACACCTGTGTGAGAACAAATGAGAAACACGTCCCACAAGTTAATTATGTCACCAACTCTGTGTTGCGTTTGCAGTCTTGTAAATACCGATGAGACGGTGACTGAGCTCAAATATGTCATTCATGCAAATTTATGTTAGCCAAGGTAGTTCTCGGAAGAGAAGGAATTGTCACCTCAAAGAAATAATAAGGAACTGCGCGTTCTTGGTTCGGTCCTTGATATAATTTGCCACAATCGAGACATTCCTGAAGTCTAGGGCTGCATCTATCTCATCCATGAAATAAAGTGGCGTAGGCTAGGACAGGTTCAGGTTACTGGAACAGCTCACGGAGTTGGTGAGATTTACCTTAAACACATGCAGAGCGAACACGAGAGCAAGTGAGCTAAGGGTCTGCAGAGTGATTAATATGTGTTCCCTGATCCCCAAAGCAGAATATACCTTCTCGCCCCCAGAGAGATTTGAAATATTCTTCCAACTCTTCTCCGGAGGCATGACGCTGAAAATGATGCCCTCTGAGAAGGGATCCATACTGTCGACAAGCTCAAGCTCTGCGTTGCCCCCAAGAGTGATCATCTGACGGAAAATATAGAATTCTGATTAATCAAAGAACGTCAGCACGGACCTGGTACATTTCCTCGAGTTTCAATGAAATCGAGCTGAAACCTGCCATGAATTCATCCAAGCGTTGTTTCCGGAGACCATCGTAAAGTTGCTTCTGCGCGTCGTGTGCTGCAGTCGTCTCCTCTAAGTCTTTGGCGCGGTTCATGAATTCCTCCTCTCGCTTCTTGTACTCTTTGAGAACGTTGAGGTTTGGATTAGTATTCTTAAGTTTCTCTAAGGCGGACGGTTCAGTTAGTAGCAATCACGTGTAACTAAAGTGGCAGAACATACCATCAAGATACTCAGAATCTGCAAGCATATCCCTCTTCTTGAAGCGTGCAAGTTCATCGGCACTGTATATGTATAGCTCAGTCGATGGCGTTCGTTGACGAGCCTTTTTCGGAGGTGCAGAATCTGCATGTTCCTGCTTCACCGCCCCTTCACCACTGCCTGAAGCTCCAGTGACTTAGTCAGCACCTTCCTCTTCATCGTCGTCGTCATCATCACTGCGAGTGGCTGTAAGCACACGAAATTTGAAATATTCGATAGACAATGACTCACTCGACTTCATGAAGCTTAAGTTGGTCGTGTTCCGTCCGCCAGTGGGTCAAGTACACGCTCATTTTCAGCAGATTCTTTCTTCTTGTCGGCAAGCTTCTGGGTGATCTCAAGCTGCAAAACCCGTGAGCACCGAAAGATCAATTGCATAGCAAATAACCAACCTCTTTCTTCCTGAACTCGTCGATTTCCTCGCGTTTTTCCTGGAGTTGCTGCTTGAGTTGATCGAGATCGTCTTTCGAGCTCTCCTGAGCAGCCTGCGCGGCCTCCACCTTCTCCTTGAGGTCTTCCAAATACTGTGCGACCTCCGCCAGCTGATCCTTCAGCTCCTCAAGCTCTTTCTCGACTTTCTCCAGCGCCGCACGGTTGGTCTCAACCCCAGACGTATATTTTACGATATTCTTCTCTGCGGTAGCCTTCATAACCTCGGCCTTGGTGACTTCTTCGTTAGCTAGCTGATGCAGCAAGCGAATACCATCAACGGTGGACTTCTGCTTCAGCAACTTGTAGCCACCGATTTTAAGAATCTTCTTTTCAAGATCTTTAATCGCGGCCTCAATGGCGCCAGTCTTGGTCTGCAGTTCTTCAAGCTCCTCTGTTGATGATGCAATCTCGGCATCTAGAGTGTTGATCCGAGCAAGATCCTTAGCGTTGGGCTTGCTTTGTGACCTAGAAACCACTCAGTAGCGATCCTGCGCACGACAGACGGATTGCACATACTTGAGATCCTGCACACGCCTCTCAGCATCAGTCAGCCGTTTCTTCCCATTGTTGACACCCATGGTGAGCTTTTCGATGTCGAGCTCTATTTCCGGGCCTGCCTGAGTGAGCCTTTCGGCTTCTGCTTCAACATCCGGGACACCCTCGGATCAGTGGGAAGCTTCTCCAGCACCATGAACGACGCGCGCCTGATGTTCTGCCTGCGTAGGAACTTGAAGCATGCTTGGCCCTGGACGACAGTATCGACAACCATGTTGTCAAGGGAGCCACAGGCGATAGAGACTGCGACGTCGTATTTGTCTGGGATCGTGCCTAGGCTACCGAGTCGGCCCTGTGAGATAATGTGTGAGTGATTGAAAGGGTGCACAGAGGATGAGGCCATACATGGAACCCATTAATCCGACCAGTCTGTTTGAGCTTCGTTAAGCTATCCAGGACTCTGTTCTGCGATGTGCTGGCCACTTGGGATGCTCTAGCCTCCTCTGATTTTTGCCGCAGGGAACTTGCCTTGGATCGAAGCTCCTGGACGCCAGCCTGAGCAGCCTGAACGGAAAGAAAAAGAACGTCAAAGTTGATCACACCCTGCATGCCCGCAGACATCCGTGGAATTTTTCTTCACATCTCCTCAACTTCTTCTGCACCTCCGCCTCATCGTCCTCAAGGAATTCAACTCATTCAGCTCAACATTTCATCAGCGTCATCTTTCCCACTATACAAAATGGAACAGCACCTTGCCCTCTTGCTCTACCTGCAACTCAACCAACTGTCCCTCTGCTTGCGTGACGGCATCTTTGAGCCCTGTGGCTTTCTTGCAAGTGCGTCCCGTTCAGAGCTGGCTACGTCAATCGCAGCCTGTTTGACATTAATCTTGGCAGTCCACTACTGTAGCTCTTTCTGCTTCGCCTCGATCTGTTCGTGAAAGACTTGCGTTTTATCTACCAATCCATGTTAAGAATAGTGTCGAGTGCGGTGAGACCATGGACCCACCCTTCAAGCTATCTTGGATCCCTTCGAGTACCTTCTCTTCCTTCTCCAGTTCGCCTCGTGTTCCGGCGAAAATGCGAATGGAGGCCAGGGCAATGTCAGTATCGGGGAAGTGCCCATTTTTGGGAGTAAGCGCAGTAGGGGTGGATGGTTCGCATCGGGAACGTAAGTGGAGATGATTACTAATGCGCTGTGGTTGAAGTGGAGGAGTGGTGATGGAGAGGGTGGAAGTTGATGATTTAAGTGATGACTTGAGTAGTTTGCACGACATGGTTGAGGTCGAGGGGATGAAGAAGGAGGGGGAGAGGGGGAACGGCAGGGAAACGGAACAGCCGGGGGTGATTTGAAAGCGCCCTGTGAATTTTTCACTGGGGGATTGGCATGAATAGTGGTCTGCTCGTCCGGGGAATCACACAAGCGGTCATCGGGGTCGTCAGCAGCATGAATATGGAATGCCGCCAACTTGCGACCCTCTGAAAAAGTGGGAGATTGAAACTTTCGTCTGGGCATGGAGCCTAATGATACCAAAGTTCCTTGGCTGCGTTCGTTTGAGAAAGTTGGCGTTGTTGAGCGGGCGAGACATCAGATGTCATCTAAAGTGACGTCAGTGACATAGAAAACGATGAACAGTTGATAAATACTTTTCAGAGTGTGATGTTGAGCGTACAAACCCTCGAAGGGAGGTAGAAGGAGATGGGTGCACGAATGAGACCAGTTGAAACCACAGAATCTGTTTATTTTCATGACTTTGGAGTGATCCTGTACATAAGTCATTCCCTCCGAGATTTGATCGGGATTTCGCATCTAAAAATGGTAATATTCTTGACTCCACCGATCGCAGCATTGCAGCGAATGTGTTTGACTCTCGCTGCCTCTAGATCCTTGCGAACGCTGGCAAGATCATTATTAATGCTCTGGTTCTCTTTGAGAATCCTCTCTATCTCACCGTGCATGCTGCCGTTCTCATCCAGAATCCTCTCATTCTTGCCCCGAATCTCTGCAATGTCGTTCTGCATCGAGGCCGGCATCTCCTTGAGCTGTCTATCCATCGTCACCTGAGGGAGATTGGCCATAGACGCAGGATTTGCTGTTGATGCGGCATTTCGTTTCCTAGCTTTCTTGGCCGCGGACAAACTTGTCAGCGTGTCTATATGCTATTCGAATGTTAAAAAATACATTTGCGATGTGGGACTGCTGATACGCTTGACTGAGTGGTTGTAGCAGTATCAGTGGCTAACGTTGTATTGGGTTCCACAGCTGTCTGATTTGCCTGGGCCTTCCGGGCTAATTGGGCCCAGATACGAATATTCGTCTCGGCATTAGGAGCGAATAGCGTTGCGAAACCAGCGGAGCGGCAGACGCTGAGTGAATCTGACGGCTAAACGTCTATAAGAGAAGTGGATCAATGAGTTGGCCTCTATAGTAAATGCCAGATGCGGTTGACTCTGACCCGGCAAGTACTTCGCCTGCATAGCGAGTGGGTCCAATGGAGGCTCGAGAGTCGAGGCCATACTACACCTTGCTAACATGTTTGCTGATGTGATTTTGTAAAATTCCCACGGCCATTGCCACCGTATGGCCTGAGCCTGGCAGGCGGGCTTCAAGTGTATTTTGATGGTCTGTCCAGATGGCTGTGACTGCGACAGCATCGTTTGACGACATGGTGAATCAAGATGACAAAGGGTGTGGTATCTGCATCAGTGATGATGCGGCCTGTTGAGGCCTCGTTGCCTCAAGGCCCTTTGTACTCCGCGATTGCTTCGCGGTGTTATGTCTTAAAAACACAGGTATGTAAACTTTACTCAAGTTCTTCAGCGACTCAACACAGCTTGGAGAGACAAATATTATGGGTTTGAACACAATTATTGGCTGCGAGTACTTAGCTGCGACAATAAATTTCGATTCGGCAATACTGCAATCAAGGCAGTGAAGAAGCACAGCCACCCAGCTGCCTTACCAGTGATGACGACGATCTGCCCTGCTAGCAGGACATAGGGAAATATAGCCTACTACTATCAAATAGACCTTCACACGGATATCACATTCGCGCACCTAACCTGATTATAGCTCCGTGATTAGCTAAAGTGACAATGCCTCCAACGATGCATGAGCAGCTGAAGATACTTGAGCATGCCACTCCGACATATCTGCGACTCGTCAGACTGCGGTCATAGAAATCGCTTCTAGTATCAGTAGACTTCGCATCAGATAATATCGAGTCAAAGTCCTTGTACTGCACACGTATACATGCAAGATGCACAGACCGGTCATTGTCTGCCAATTAAGCAAGGCCAGCGAGAAACAGCATCAGGAGTCAAGCGAGTCTGCAGGTATGAATCATCGAGAAGTACCAGTGATATCCGGCATAACTAGACTGCATGTAAGTAAATTGCGCAAGTGCGACTTCAAAAATACTCACCTCAAGGTGGTAAAATGTCAAACTGATCAATTGATGCATCACAGGCGTGATAAATTTGTTTCTCTTCAGCAAACTTTCAGAATATTAAGATTCCATGGTTAGGTCGAGCTGGCTTTGAACGACATTGATAATCATTAAGCCGTCACCCGCATGCCAGTGCACCGATAATCGTGGCCGATCACCTGCCTTCACTTGTTCTCATCAATACCTAGTCTGTGATGTTAGTCAACCCTTGCTTGAATAATCTGCAAACTCACGTGGGATGACTACTGGCATTCAACGAGCTCTAAAGCGCAGCTAGTACACGATTTCCCGACACGTTCATCTCATTATCGCTCAGCGCTTCTGCCTGGTACCAAATCAGAATTACTGAAATGGGATAATACTCGCTGCGTCATATTAAAGAAGCTGGGGAGCCATGCTATTAGACTGCGTTGGATTCGGCAGTCCATTACAGTAAGGGGGGAAAATACGGTAAGCATACAATATCCTCACTTCACGAGCGCATTACCCTGCATGGTGGCCGCCTCATGTGTCAATGAGAGTTACCCGACGTTGATGTTGCACATACCTATTGACCATAGTTTGTTTGTGTGCCAGCTCTTTAGCTTTGCTGTCTCCGTTAACAACAGCAATAATTTCTCGTGCTAAACGCTCCTCCACCGTCCTCCCACCTCTTGATTTTGCTGGTGACTAGTACAGCACGAACAATTGCCCTTATATGCTGTTTTTCTGGAAGCACAGCAGGTCTCACGTCGTTCTTTCCTGAGCGCTTCTGTGATATCCACCTGACAGCGGGAGAAGCAGTGATGAGAGCATGGCGAAGGATAGGTAGCGGCGGCACGCAGGTAAGAGCGTGAATATAAAGGAGGGGACGGGGACGATGCGCTCTACCCTTGCACGCTTTTCTTAGTTAAGCAGGAAAGATCCGAGGAAATAAGAAGGGGATCGGATGCTGGCGGAATGAGCATTTGTGAAGCGTCTAGAGTTGAATTCTGAATTGGGGGCGTGGGGGGAGGTAATATATCTGATAGCGATGAAGTCTTCAAGTCGAGGCCTGATAAAGGCCCTATTAGAGAGTCAAGTAACACTGTATCCTAGATAAGTGTTCGTTCATCGGCAGTAGAACTATTAGCACGGCGAGCAAGGACTGGGAGCGAGCGTCTCCGCGCGACAACGGATGGAAGTATGCGTTGAGCACATGGTAGAAACAAGTGCCTCGACACGTTAAACGTTGCTAGGCGCATTGTCACTGACGATCACGAAGAGAACCGACAACAAAGAACGTAACACAAATCTGACCGACGCAAACAAACAGGACACTAGGAAAATGGTGCGCCACCGCTGCAGTATTTGCCGCGACGTCGATCAAGCTCAATGAAAGAATTTATTGCATCATCGAACTTTCCTAATCGGAACTGGGACACGGCGTGAAGGTGCGAATGTGGGTTCGTTGTTGGTCCTTCAGAAGGTAGATGGCGTTATGTCCGTCACTCGATGAATAATTGAAAACAAACTTTGTTTGGTAAAAGAACTTTGTCTAAAGTATCAAGCAATGATAATGCGTCGGAATAGTGGATACTGATATGATGTGGGTGGGAAGGGAAGAGTTTGGACGGATTGCGTTGTCGGTGACGATAGGACTTGCACAACTTGAGAGGGGATGAGGGATGGGGCAGCTGGAGCACTCCCAGATGGAAATGAAGCACCTTCGTTCTCCAGTGTACCAGGAGGAAGTATTGAGAAGATATATGAATTGACAAAGGCTAGAAAAGACGATGACTGGGGCAGATTGAAATGTGGACCAACTTCAAACAATAAACAAGACGCGACAAGCGTGTTATTTACGTTTGTTGATTCTACATTCGTTTCAACACAAACCTCCTCATACCCGGCCCTTCGATAAACCCTAGCTAATGGGCCATTCCAACTTGCGAATCAGGGATACTTTCAAATGTTTTCAGTTTTGTCTCGCGAGAGATTGGCGAGTGTGTGATAAATGCTATCGGTATATCTGAAGTACGTTCTGTTTTCTCTGATTTTAAACGAATCAATTGAATTGATCACTGATACAGTCAGGTCCATCCAAACGGAGACAGGGACGTGATGCGAAGTCTAAAGAGCGGGACAAACAACGAAAGGGCTATGATGGGGGAGTCATTTAACTCCTATTCACGGAAGCATCTCGTCGCCTTTGCCCGTATATGACACCAGTGCTGAGTGGATCCAGTTCGTTATTGGTGCGTCTCAGTGTCTTCCGTTTATTGAAGATTTACGTATATGAGTCTGCAGTGTGCGCCATTCCCAGAATACAGATCTAGTCAACAAATCGCAGCATCATCGCCTACCATTGTTTTCAGATGATGCCCCATTTCGAACAGATCGCTGGATCGTACTCCAAAGCTCTACTTAGTTGGGTCTTACAGTTGGCATCACTGCGTTTCGAGTAGATCACAGGGATGCTCTTCAAAGTTTCACTCTCCAGGTTCGTACCCTGTACTTATTGAATGCTCGTTGTTAATGTTGTCCCATTCCTTTCGGTAGTGCCCGAAATCGGCGTCGCAACGTCATCACCTCCCGGAACTTCAGATGATTGAAATGTAGGAAGTCCTGGCAGGTGGCAGCACTGCGTTCCGAACAGATCGCAGGATCGTTCTTCAATGCTTCACTCTCCAGGTTCGCACCTCAGAGACGCGGTCGAACATTGTTAATACTCTCCAGACACATCAATATTCCTATCAGCAGTTCCTGACACCGGGCCCACGGCGTCATCACCTGTTTTTAGTTGTATCATGTCAAATATGAGGAATTCCTTGCAGGTGGCGGCGCTGCGTTTCGAACAGAACGTAGAGTTGTTCTTCAAAGCTCCACTCTCCAGGTTCGTACCTTGGCTTGGTTGCTAGTTGTTCTCCAAAGCTTCACACTTTAGGTCTTCATTTTCGGAATTGTCATGGTCTAACAACGGAGTGCTTCGCTTGGGTCTTTTTCGAGCGCGCCATGAGCAGGTGAG